GAAATGAAGCTCCTTTTGAGGACAGCCGCGACCGCCCCTCACATGCTGGAGTCGGAGATCTGGAGCGTAGCAGTAGGGGCTGCCCTCGGTGACTCCCTGGCCTCATTTCTGGATTTGGCATGTGCAGCATGGGGGCAGGCTGGTGCTCCCAGGACCACAGTGAAAGTGGTACAGACAAACCCTTTGTGTCCTATAATGCAAGCTTGCCTCTTGTGGACTCTCCATGTGGAAAGGTGGGGTCTGCAGAGGATGTTTGTCATCCATACAGGACAAAGGAGCCGTGGCAGTGTGCCTTGGGTTTACTTTATTGCATTGCAGTGGGTTGTCCCAGCCATTAGCAGAGAACTCTGCAGCGTGGATTGCAGAAACTTGCAGCCTATCCATAAAATAGATGTGGATCCATTTATGAACACCTATGGCGTTGGAGTCCAGCCCTTCCTTTCAAGGATGTGAGTTGACCCCCTTAGTTATCCTGGCAGTGGCAGAGAGAAGGAAGCCCAGCACCAGGCAGTGTTTCACTTGCATTTTGTTGTCTTCTTAGACACTGTAGTGTATAAGACTGTGCTGCAGTGTGAAGGCTAGAGAACCCATCGGTGCCTTTTGATTTCTTTGCTGTTTCTATGTTCATAGCTTATTTTAGGATCAGCTGCCACACAAGCCAAGAAGCCAGTCAGGATGGAGTGCACAGTGTTAAAATGGTACAGGTATTAAAGTAGAGTGGGAACCTGGCTCTTGGCATTTTGGCATCTTCTGGGAGTTTAAGGCTCTTCCTTTTCCCTTCTGATTGCATGTGACCAGCAACACTCCAGTTTTGTGGCTATTGCCCCATGACTGGTTCATGGCCTGTCTACAACCTGTTCCCCATGTTGATTTTTGCCTCAACACCAAGATGAGCCTCCATGAAAAAAGTTGATTTTTTTTTTTTTTAAGTGCTTTGGAAGCAGTAGCAGAAGGTGGACACCGGCTGGTAAAAATGAACGAGGAAGAAGGAGTCCTAAGTGACTCACGGGTGATAAGCCAGGAGTCATCTTGGCAGTATTTAACAGTGACAGCAGATGAGGGAAGCAGTGGAGCTCTGGGGATGAAAATGCTGGTGAAACATTTGGAAGGAAGCATTGGAGATGGGCTGGAAGCACAGGACTAGACAGATGGGGTCAACCCAATAGGGTGGGGTGAAAAGAGGAGCAGTGGCTAGGGTCAGTGGGTTGGAAATGCCCATCTTATCTGTATTTTGGCCCATTTGTCCAAGAAACTTGCACTTAAAATGGAAAGTAACTTAGATAAGGAAGCTTCCCAAACCTTTAAAAAGTGAAATAAATGATACCTTTATAAAGGCCAACAGCGGCTGTCTTGCTTAGCACATAGTACTGTGGCGGGAGGGAAGGGGGAAAAGGAGCGTGTCACAGTACAATACCCTACAAGTTGTTTGGCCCTTGGCTTTTCAAGTACGCACTCATGTGCTTATCTACAGCTTCTACTACAGCCTGATTTTCCATTTTCTGGAAATACCCTTTTGGTATAATTAACTTCTGGAACCTTGCCACTTGTAATCCATTGCGTGTGTGGAGGGGGGTTCCCCTTGGCTGTCTATTTAAGTTATTTTGTTTTGGGAATGGTAATCTTACTGGTGTGGTTACATGAGTAATGTTTAGCCCTGATGCAGCTTGTATAATGAAGCACAAACACTAACCAACCTACCCAGGAAGGGGAAAAGTAAGCTATCATCTCCCTTTTAGAGATTAAAAAGATGAGAATTCAAGGGGGTTGACTTGCAACTTGCCCAAAGCCACTCATCAAATAAGTGGCAGATACAGATTAGCACCTTTCAGTTTTGTGTTTCACAGTTTTGATATTCAAATTGCTAGGCAATACTGCTGTTTTGGCTAGAAGCGTTATAAAACCTTTTTCCCACTCTTTTTTTTACCAGTTTCAGTGAAAGATTTCCTGGCTTTGTGGCCCTGAATCAAAGTCAGTTCTTTAAAAAATAATTGTTATAAATGGGTCAGGATGATAAATAGTGAACAGAACTGACCAAATGAATAAACTGGAAATACAATCTGTACTTTTTCCAGCGAATGCGGTTTAACCATTCGAGGGGAGGGAGGCACGGTGAGTTACTCGGCTTTTGCTTTTAACTTGCCTGCCATGAAATTTCTTCCTTCAACACTTCTGAGGTGCTCAGATTGTGCTGTAAGGCTGTCCAAGTGTGTCCCGAACCCTTGTTCATCAGACATCTATGAGAGGAGGTCTGGGATCTTCAACACCATTAAAGGCAGGTAAAATGTAAAGGACCTGGGTGTGACCCAGGGTTCTTAGTTACAGTTCTTGTAAGTGTCCTACTTAACCCCTATTTCTAAAGCCTATTTATAGTCACCCAGTACTGTTGAATGGCCAAAGAAAGATGATCAAGAGCTTCCTCGTATATTGAATACTGATACAACGGGGCTTCCTAGGTAGGTTGTGACAGGGAAAACACGATTTAAAAGCAGAATGAAGACTCTTTTTTTGGCTCATTTAGTTTCTAGACCTTAAAAGCAGGAGTCGAGGGAGGAAGTGGCAATGTGTGTTTAGTCTACAACTTGGTTGCATGGAAGTGAATATCAGCCCAGTGAGGAGACTTGAACCCACATTATTTTTCCATAGCAGCAGTCCTCAGCTTTTCCCTGGGTCACCACCCACAGCATTGAGCAGGTGACATACTTTACTCCCCCTCTTGAACTCGGCTTCAGTGTCTTGTTTCTTGAGGCTGTGAGCAATGTCAGAAGGTTGCCCACAAGTTGTGGGTTGGGACATCCTGTTCTATAGCATCATAATCATGTAGTCCACAGGTATTAAGACAGGCCCCTCTGCCTTGGTAGCCCTTGCGTACCTGTGAGACATTCAACTCTGGAAACAGATAAAGGGTTGCATTCTGTCATTATGACTGCCTAGATAACAAGCATCTCATTTAAGTGTGGCAAGACAGTGGTATGAACTATGTAGAGGAGGTGTTAATGGCACACCTCATGCTGTGTGTTTGTTCACACAGTCGTGGTAGGGGGTTCCCTTTAAGGAGATGAGAGGTGTGTTTTAGTGTCTACATTTTAATATCTTTTTTCCCCCAATTTCAGAATTCATGTTGCATTCATGTTCCCTCCTGACACACATCTCTTCCAGCCTCGCATCTCTGTGATTTATATGTCATAATTTGTCTACAGTTTGTCTGGCATTTTGCCTTGGATTGTACCCTGGAGGGAGCTCTTTATAGCAGAACTGTTGTTTTTTTTCTGAGTAAGCCCCACCTATTCTAATTTTAATTACAGACTCACTGCTCCTTTTATCTCCCTCCTCCCTTGCTTTAAAAGTTATCTAGAAACAAAATCTGGCAACACATCCTGGCACGAGCCTGGAGGCTGCCCTGAGCTTTCAACACAACATGATTAAAGGAGTAAGAACTGGGAACTGTTTCACAGATTCCCTTTCATAACCACCCAGGCTCTACTTCCTTTCTTGCACTGTTGTCATACTAGGGGGTTTTTTTTCCCCCCATCTCTCAAATTCATCTCAGGAAAAAAAAATTGGCTGTGTCTTTATCTTTGTGGTGCATAAAGACATTTGGAAAGATGTTTCCTAATTGTTTTTCACAGCTGGAAATGTCGAGCCTTGTCTACCTTTACCTTGTTCTTCAGGACTGAACAACTGAAGACTTAATGTCCTCTAATGAATATCTTAATGTCAGGAATGTGGCTGCACAGTTGTTATGTTGAACCATCCCCAGTGACCATATCGAGCCTGGGGTTGGACCTCATCACTGGCAAAATTTCAAGAAATCCTGAGGCTGCTCTAAGTCCCACCTAGGCCTGACCTGGTGTATGGCAGCATCAAGGTCAGGGCACTCACAAGAGGTGGTAAACTGGGACTTGGCCATAACTGTGGTGACATATGGACAAGGCAGGTCTGAGTGCAACTGTGCTCCTTGTTTAAGTCGCTGCAGAAAAACACCCCTGGATTGTCCGTGTCAATTCAGAACCGGGTTCTACACTAGTGGCCACTTGGACTTGGCCACAAAATGTTGACACGCAATACTGGAAGAATCCTTAGTTTTTTGGGGTTTTGTTTTGTTTTTTTACCCCCGTGTGATTAGAGGTACTGTGGAGAATAAAGACAAGCCTGGTGTCCTGGATTCATTTTTCTAATTCCATTGCTGTGGTTTCTTAGGTGTTGCATCCTTAGTTGTGTGGTTTTCCCTCTTCTGAGGGATCAGGGAGGAGGCTGCCTGCAGAGACTAGTCTTGTTTTTCCCTCTCATGTTTGACAAAGTCTGACATCATTTGATGAAGTGAGCTCTTGCTCATGAAAGCCATTTATTTATTTGATTCAGTTAATCTGTAAAGTGCAGGTCTACCCTTCCTTTTGCCTGATGTCAAACAGTAACTTATGAGGAAAATGCAGAGGCAGTAACATGTCACAAAATCACAGAATTGTGGTAACTATTGGAGGAACTGTTCTGTTAAGGCCAGTAAACTTGTAAAGTTGGGGGAAAATATGTATCCTTCATTCCATCCAGGCTCCCATGCAGTTTTTATGAGATGCATGAATCACAGTATTGCTGACAGTTACAAAGGAAATAATATCTAACTGGAATGAATGACCCTTTGAAAAATCAGTTTATTGCTGACAAATTTGGAATAGGTTATAATCAGATTTTATCAGTGCAATTAAACATCTGATGCTCTGAGTTTAACACCATATATACACATTCTGTAAAACACTGGAACTGTTTCCAGAGGGAATAGAGCCACATTTGTTCTGACAAGAGTTCCATACTAAATAGCCAAAAAAGAAGCCTGATTAGAAATATTCAAGAATGGAGAAGAAATGATTGTGAAAGCAAAATAAGTTATCCTGTTGTGATGCAGGGAGTGAGAAATTTTGTTCATCCTTGTGGGAATTTTCCTATGTAACACTTCACAAATCATTAAGAATGAAAATGTACTAACTGATCGGTTGTCACAATCACTGTGCAGAGGTAAATGATTTTTAATGCTAGCGCAGAAATCGGAGATTACCGCCAAGGTCAGACAAATTGCAAGTGCTGCAAGTCAGTTAGTGACCAGGTGCCACGTAAATTGTCACAAACCCCTTAACATGTGAGAACTTGTTACAAGAGAAGTCTATCTGCAGCTGCAAGTTGCCGGTCTGGCGGGGTGTGAATTCATAATAAATCATCGATTGCTCCTTCGGTGCTAGTCCTGCCACACTGAAAAAAAAAAAAACACACAAAGAAAGGAAACCAGTGAGTTCAGGGGCACTCTCCTGTTATGTATGCTGGGGGTCCCAAGGAAAAGCGGAAGCTCAAGACCTGTGTGGATCAGGAAGCATGTTGCCACACACATTTATAAGTGGATAGATGAACAGGGGGAGCTGCTGCACATTGTGTATTTGCATGGCGTGCAGAGTTGCTAGCTATCAAAGCTTGAGACCTGTTGATTTGAGACCACAGGGTGAGCTGCATCTCATATTTAGACACTTATTTATCTGGCGCTCTCTTCTCACTGATGTCCCTTCCAGCACCTACATTGTCTCTTGGCTGCAGAAGTAAGGTTTGTTTTTTTGCTTCCTCCTGGACTGCACTGGTAACTCAGAACTGGGGCTTGCCAGGGACTGCCCCTGGAGTGCAATGTTCTACATGTTCCAGTGTTTGAAGGTGCCACAGACTGGGACAGCTTTGAGAGTTCTCACAGGTGGCACGGCCAGGTCAACTCGAGGCCCAATGCACTTCAACCCCCGTAGGACATGTACACTGAGCTTGCAGAGGAGGAATCCACAAGGAGCCCATGCACAGAAAAAGTGTAACTAAGAAGGCGTTAGTCCCACATGCTTTGAAAGGGACTTATTCTTTGCTAGCTTTCCCTCTCCAAATATTAAATATTTATGCTGATAAAGTCTAGAACACCTCTTCTTGTTTGTACTGGGAGGAGGGAAGTGTTGGCAGCATCTTACACTGCAAGAAGCAGTGAAGTCCAAAATCCTATCTGAGTAGCTCTCATGTAGCTACGAATAGAATTGCAAATCTCAGCTTTAGATGCAGACCACAGAAGTAAAAAGCTCTTGAACTTATGCACCTACTCTCCCTGGAGTTTCATCATTCTTCTTTTCTTTAACACGTTGCAGACCCGATGCCACATTTGAGTTCTAAATGTGACATCCGGAGACTTGCAGTTTCATGGTTAGAACATTTCCCTTCTGAGTCTTGCTCGGGGTGCGGGGGGGGGGAACCATTCCAGTCTCACTACTGGTCTTATCAGAAGCACCGAGTAGATGCTGCTGCTTTACTTACTTTATCTTGACCTGCTGATTCATCAGTGTTGCCAGCAGCACACAGTCCTCCACAGGCTCCGGGAGAGGGTTGGTATACCAGATCTCTAGGTTAACTGCTCTGTTCACCACAACCTGGGAAGGAACCTAAGCAGGACAGAAACATTTGGGTCCATCATCATTCTGATGCCCTCGCCATCTCCCCGCCTGCCCTTGCAGGACTGTTGCCTATGAACAGCCAAAGGTGTTAACCTTCTCAGGACGGTGGCTGGCACTCTGGTCAGACATAAGTAGTGTTATGGGTACAGTGTCGCTTCCCTTCAGGGGCTGGAGTATTTTAGGTAGGAACAACTGAATTTAGCTCCTGGTTGACATGCATCTCCCTTCTCGGTCTTTCCTTACACTGAATTTGAATTAGTTGTGCCATTCAGGGAAATCGTACACATGTTGAAGAACTGAATCTTGGACCTATTCAGAAATGTCTTGAGAGAGGGAGTTAGCCATGTTAGTCTGAACTCGGGCAGAAAGGAGGCACCCTAGGGACCAACTTGCGCACAGAAAGGCATATGCTTCCACAGGCAATAGGTTGTCTCTAAGGTGCCACCCTGTCCTGTCTTCTGTCAGACATTAGTTTGCCTCTTGTTTCATTTGCTGCCTGATTGTCCTGGAATGCAATGCACAAAGAAAATACTTTTGCTGGGGAATAAGCTCCCATGTTTCCTACTGGCACGTCAGAATGAGCCAGCTTGGGATGGAGGTGCACCCGTGCTGGCACCTGGCTGCAGCACAGCAAGGGCAAAGCCCTCTGCTGCTGAGGCCCCCCACCATCTCCATGGGCCAGATCTGGTCTGTAGGCCTAGGCTGCTGGACCCTGCTCTAGCCTGAACGCCATCTATAGGCTTCTCTGAGGAGAGCTCTTGTATTTGCTGCTTTCCATTCAAGGCAACGTGGAAACCTCTCTTACCTTGATGATGATTTTGGGATTCTCTAACATAATTGTCTTCTCCACCAGAAACTTCACCCCTGGTATGTTCGTGACTTCACACAACCCAGTGACTAGGATCCTCTTGTCATCGGTCAGGTGCTTTCCATACCGGGAGTAAGGGAACTTTAGTAGAATATGCTTTTCTGGAATTCAAACATATTTGGAAAGTCTCAGACTCCAGTAATGTCCCAGATATCCCCCAAATGACTAACTGAGTCTGTCTTTGTTGTAGCATTTGTTTACCAGGCCAGACGGGTTTTCTTGCTGGCCAGCCCCTTCTCTTCATTGCTGATAGCCACTGCCTAGTGTTTTGCAGTCCGGAACAAAATCTGCTCTGTTGTTGTGCAAACCCTTTGTTCTTCTATACGGGGAGTCTTGCTGAAACCCAACCAGAATTTGTCTCTGCATGTAGTATTGTCCATCCTAAGACTCTTACTTGGCCTATTGTAAGAAGTTTGGCCTATTCCCTCTTTGTTTTACATCAGTTGGCAGGCAGAAGGATCAGGCCAAATGTTACAAGAGCAGTCCAGCCCAGCCCTCCTGCCATTGCTCTTTCCCTACAGTTCTTCTGTCTATTGAAAAATAATAGTTTCTCACTCTACAGCCTGTTAGGATGGAGAAATATAATATTTTTCCTGTTTTATTAACCCAAGTGCTCTTAAGAAGGTTGACATGTAGTTTTGATGCAACTTTTGCTATATTCTAATTTGTTCCTAGTGCATATGTGCCCTTTTCTGTTAAATTTACTGCAGATCCTTGCTGGCTGAGAAAGAGAGAATATGGACCAGGCGGGGAACATTTTCCTTCTCCTTTAGCCCAGAGCGCAGTATTTCTGTACGTGTCTGGCAGGTTGTAGGGCAGGAGGAAGCCACTGTGATAATCTAGCCAGACAACCTGCATGGTAAAGGGAATCCCCTGCATTAATTCTTGTCTGAAATTGAAATAGGACAGGAAAAAATGCCCAATACCGGTTTTAAATGGATGTAAAAATTGCCAGCAGTGGAGAACCTTACTTAAGGGTGCATGAGCAGATTTTTGTTCCCAAAGTCAGAAACTCAGAAAAGTGGGTTCAAAACATCTAGTGTAACCCTCTGCCTGAGGCGGGATCATCGCTATCCAAACCATCCTACACAAACCGTTGTCTAACCTCTTATTATTCAAGATCATTTTACAAGGCTGACAGACAGGATGTATTGCAGGAAGAGCCAACCTTTTTCACACCTGTGCCACAAATTGGGCCTGCACTCTCCCCACGTGTCGCTCTGATCCCCTTCCCCTGCCTGATCTGTGGCTCTGTTTTCTACTCCTAGCCCTGTGCTCCCTGCCCAGTTTGCTGCTCTGTTTTCTGCTCCCTGCTCTATGTGCCACTGCGGTGCCTGCCCTGTCCGTGGTCTGCTGCATGCCACGCAGAGGCTGCCTGTGTCACTTGTGGCACACATGCCACAGATTGACTGACTCTCTGATATATTCAATGTGTTTTCTTCCCATCCATTTGACCATGAGCATGTTCTTAATCTGTCAGTTTAAGAGCATAGTTTTGTGGGCTGTTGAGTCATATGAAAAATTTACCTGAGTTAGCACCGAGTTCAACAGAGGCGGTTTCCTGCAGGATCTCTGCCACTGTTGTCCTGGTGTACAGGATACTTGATGCACTCATGTTCACCTTAACAGACTTGTGTTCAGAAGACAAGTTGTTGAGAATTAAAATTAAGCTGATGTCGTGTCCAAGCACTGGGGGTTCAACCAGCTTGAATCTCCCAGAGATACCAGGATTTCTAGCTGCATCTGTGGATCTTTCATTAAGAACCTCTGGGCGTCTTTCTGTGGTGTTTGATCCAAATATCTTGTTCCATGCCTTTCTATACACTTGTCTTTCCTCAGAAGAGCCTGGTTGAAAAGGAAAGGTGTAAAACTCATGATTTTTTTTTTTTTTTTTCCTCCAGTGCACAGTCCTTGCCACTCTGAAAATGCAGCTTATGCATAGTTTGAAATGTTCACATGATGTACAGTATTTCATTTAAAAACAAACAGTTTGTAACTGTATTACTCCAGAGCCATCATGGAGCCACCACATGCACACATTTCTGATAATATTATGTGAGAGAGAATGCTGTTTCTATCCAGTTTTGATTCTCAAAAATGTCAGTTCTCAACAGTTTTTTAGTTCTCAAAAAGCAGAGTAGTTTCATGGCTGGTCCCCGGGGTACTGTTGCTTTCCCTGGCGGCTCCTGCTGTTGGAAATGTATAAGGTTTACCTCAGTGGAGAGTCTGTGATTGATAGCATAGACAGCTTGGGAATCGAGACCAGAGTGGGGTTCACTCTGACCCTCTGAAAACCTGTGCTGATACTCTGCCTGTCCTCTGCTGTTTCTAGTAGTGTCTAGACGCCTCCATCAGGAGCAAGTTCCCATTGTACTACAAACACCCTTTGGTTGTTACCCCTCTGCTAGAGACTGAGACCCAGCAGGGATATAACCATGAGGCTGGGCACCTAGGGCAGCTGCCATGCACAGGGCTGCTTCTGGTTGCTACTGCACTGTGAAATCACAATTTTGGATTATGCTGCTGTGGCAGCAGCTGTGTCGTGTCCGTCCTGCTCCCCGCAAATCAGTGATCAGGATGGCTGCCCTGGTGCCCCTGTCCTAGTTATGTCATTGTAATCTAGGAAACTTAAAACTGAATTTAAGCAAGATGACCAGGAGCCTAAGAGCAAAGAAAGTGGTATACAGGCTGTGGAAAAGGGGGGGGGGGGGGTTAGCTACCAAGGACGAGTATACCTCCGTGGCTCACACTTGCAGGCAATCAGTTAGGGAGGCCAAAACAGGATTAGAATTTAGGCTGCCAACAAAAATTAAGGACAACGAAAGTCCTTGTTCAGGTACATAAGGAGCAAAAGGAAGGTGCAGGGTAGCATAGGACCCTACAGGACAAACTTGGGCAATTGGTGACAAAGCTGAGTCCTTCAATGAGTTATTTGTGTCTGTATTCCTAGACACAGGCCAAGGCAAATCTCCCAATTGGATCATAGATGTCCGCAGAGGGACACCAGCCCACCAACTGTTAGCGCAGACTTAGTGAAGGGGCACTTGGAGGGGCTGGATGTGTTCAAATCAGCGGACCCGGATACACTTCATCCAAGGGTGCTGACAGAATTGGCCAGTGTCATAGCAGAGCCGCTGGCACGGCTGTTAGAACACTCACGGTGCTCTAGTCATGTCCCAGAGGACTGGAAAAAGGTCAGTGTGGTCCCTATTTTCAAGAAGGGAAGGAGGGAGGAACCAGGAAACTATAGGCCAGTTGGTCTCGCCTCCATCCTTGGGAAAACTCTGGAAAAAATCATTAAGGATCACATTTGTGGCAGCCCAGCAGGGGAAATAATGCTGAAAGGAAATCAACACAGGTTCATTGCAGGTAGGTCCTGCCTGACTAACCTTGTTTTTTTTTTTGTTTTTTTTTTTTTT